AGATTATGTGCATGTGCATAAATCGTCCATATCTTGAAAATAATATGTTCAAATGTTATGAATCTTCTTTTAGAAGTTTATTTATTGAGTTGGGTTTNCCATAACTCTCTAGATAATCATTCAAAATCATTGATTTTTCTTCTGGAAGTTAACTTAATGAGTTAACTTTCAAATTCCACTGATTTCATTCAAAAATATGGTGATTTGAAGTTTTAACTACTCAAAACAAAGTGAGCATGCAATCTGTCCAAATCTGACAGATTTGTATATGTATGTTCCAATGACCATATCTCTTTCAAAACTCGATGAAAAAGGATGATTCTTCCTTTAGGAGTTAACTATATGATTTATCTTCTGCATACAAGTGGAATCACATACAAATATGGAGTTTTGATCTCCAAACACCTAAAACACTTAAGGTGTGCAAACTATGAAACCATCAATAGGTAACTCCTACTTTGTATGCTAATATCTCTTTATTTATTTGCTCTTAGTATATGATTCTTCTTTTGAAATGTTCTTTTATTGAGTTAGGGTTCATATGAACCTAGTTTCACTCAAAATTATGAAGTTTTGAGGCATTAACCAATTTAATTAAGTTAAGTATGCAATCTGTCAACTAATGACAGATGTGTGCATGTAACTTTATGGTGTCATATCTTCCTCTCAACTCATCCAAAATGAGTGATTATTAGTTTAAAAGTTTCATTTAAGTGTTAAGTTTATAATCCAACTTGAATTCCTACAGAACACTTAGTAGAACTCTTTAAATGAGTATTTTACTAACATGATGTAATCTGCCATATCAGTTGTGACATATTGTATTGCATAAATTATTTGAATCATTATTGCATGTCAAAAATGCATGAAATTTGGTCTCTATGACCATAACTCAGTGTTATATCTCATATAAAAATATAGTAAACTATCTCATTTTAAAAGTCTCTTTAAATTGATCATTTTATGTACCATTAGTTTCTGCCCAAAAATGAGATTTTGGGATTATTTGATTTTGTAAATTTTGATCTTTTATTGGACTATAGCATTACTTCTGGTATAAATTATTATATTAACGAGCATATGGACATTATGTATATTTGGACTATAGATAATCAAGTTGGACATAAGTAGGCACTTATGGACTTAGGACTTATTAATCCCCATAAGTAGTTTTAAACCCATAAGTGACGGTTTTGGATATTCCTCTTTCATAGGGAAACGTTAAGCTCGTGTGGTGACCGGATCGTATCTTTAATTTGCGGAGCTTTGCAAAAGGGTGAGTTTTCACAGCCCCTTTTTACTATTTTCGCGTTTTTGGGGGAAAATCATGTATAAAGGTAGTTGATGATTTGTATGCAATATACAATGTGTTTAAATCGTGGATACAAATTGATTTTCATGAATTATGCTTTGAAATGAAATTGTGAATACGAGCACTAACACTTTGTACACTAGTAAAAGTTGTGTTTGGGTTAAATGAAAAAGTCTCACTTGGTTACACTACTTATTAACTCGTATGAGCCGATAGTTTAAGTGGATAKCGCTATTTGGATTGACAATCCCACCTTTTGCTGACGAGTAGGGGTGCATTTAACTAAAACAAGAGTTCTACACATGTGGGGTTTAGTCCCACCGCTGAGGTAGTCCGGTATGAGTTCTACACATGTGGGGTTTAGTCCTACCGCTGAGGTAGTTCGGTATGAGTTCTACACATGTGGGGTTTAGTCCCACCGCTGAGGTAGTTCGGTATGAGTTCTACACATGTGGGGTTTAGTCCCACCGCTGAGGTAGTCCGGTATGAGTTCTACACATGTGGGGTTTAGTCCCACCGCTGAGGTAGTCCGGTATGAGTTCTACACATGTGGGGTTTAGTCTCATCGCTGAGATAGTACGGTATTAAAGGGCGTAGTTGTCGCAGGTTTAGTAGTGGCTCAACACTTAAAAATTACTTGGAGTACATTGTGCCTCGTGTGAAAATGTTTCGAGTAAGTAAAAGACTTACTCGAATTAAATATTGCATACAGATTTGTTGTGAAATGAAAACCTGTGAATTCACCAACTCTTGTAGTTGACACTTGTTTCGACGTGCTTTTCAGGGGTAAGAAATGCACATGGTGGCACTTAAAAGAAGCCGTGTTTCAACTATCACCTTCGAATTTCTTTTTGTGTTTAATTTACAACTTG